AGGGGGCAGCAGGGCAGGCCCTATGAGGAGAGGCGACGGGACCTGAACCTGTTCAGCCTCCACAAGAGAAGGCTGAGGGGGGATCTTGTGGCCTGTTATAAACTAGTCAGAGGGGACCAGCAGGCACTGGGGGGTCCCTGTTCCCCCGAGCACAGCCAGGAGTGACCAGGAATAATGGTCACAAGCTGGCAGAGGGAAGGTTTAGGTTAGATATCAGGAGGCGCTACTTCACGGTCAGGGCGGCTAGGGTCTGGAACCAACTTCCAAGAGAAGTGGTGCTGGCTCCTACCCTGGGGGTTTTTAACAGGAGGCTAGATGAACACCTTGCTGGGGTCGTTTGACCCCAGTGCTCTTCCTGCCATGGCAGGGGGTCGGACTAGATGATCTGCTCAGGTCCCTTCCGACCCTAGAAACTATGAAACTATAAATACTCTAAAGTCCAAAGTCACTTCAGTATTAGCAGATTAAACAGAGATTTATGAAGTAAATGAGGTTTGTGATTTCTTCCCCGCAAAAGAGGAAAACCACTTGTAAGCAAGACATAAAACAGCTTGTAGAAGAGAAATACGTACCTTATGACAACATCAAACTGATCCAATGTATGACCTAGTCCCAGGTCGCGGAGGAGTCCACCACTCCCAATGACTACACAATGTTTACAGTGCTTCAGCTTCAAGTTTTCTGGAAACTCGTGTGCTGGTAAAAGCTCCAAAAGTTTCTGGAGCCTATCGGAGACCTTTTGAAATCCAAAGGGTGGTTCATATTTAAACACAGCTTCATCCAAATGTTTGTCTTCCCCTACAAAGGGATACATATCTGCACTGTACTTCTCTGAAAATACTCTGCTCATCTCCTTTTTCACAAAAGAAGATCGACATTCTCCTTGCAACACGTGTTTGGCATATTTTTGTGTTCTCTGAAAACAAGAGACATATAATTTAAGTCACAAGAATACTGGCAATCACAGTAAACTAGCAGACGTAGTCTTTAAGAAGAAAAGCCAGGTTGAATAAGCAACTGAGGGAAAATGTTAAAGCACTCAGTTAAAATCTGGAATAGTCTTTGTAGGGTGATCTTGTGAATTCACAACTTTTAAATCCTCTGGCATTTTTTAAAGGGTAAATAAGGTTTCATTTGAAAAATGTTAGTAAAAGCATGTCCATTTCCTGAATGCTTTCAGGGAATATCCAGGTATTTTATTGACAAAGCAAATTAACAGCACAGCAAATGCAGGTGCAGAAAAGCCTACATTTTGCCCTGTCCCACACATCAGTAACTCATTAACTAAAAGCTGCATTGCCAGTGATGCAAAAACCAGAAACACTACAGATGCAATACAGGACTTGCAGCATTTGTGCCAATGAACTCGACTTCGTCTCAAGAGCATTATGTTTATACAATAGTTTAAAAACTCACTGCATCAGGGGTCTGAAACCCCCGGCACATGTGCCAAAGCATGGCACACAAGGCTATTTTGCTCAGCACACCACAGCTGGCCTGGGCTTGGGCAGCTGCCACCAGCCACGGAGTTTGGGTTGCTTGCAGCAGGCAGCCAGGAGGCTGTGCCAGGCTCCAGAGCCCTGGTTCGGGGCTCTGCGGTGATGGCAATTGAGGGTGCACCTCAAGGCACATGGCCGGGAAGGGACTGAGCGGCAGCCTGTGCGCAGGTGGGCAGGCAGCACAGAGCTGGATGAGCTGAATACCTGCAAGAAGTGCAGCATTTGGCTGCATCACCCTGTGTGCTTGACCCAAGCTGCACAGCCTGGGAGGTGCACCCAAGTCAGCGAAGCGACGCGATGGAGCACCAGGCTGCCCGGGGCAAGGGCAAGGGCAGGGTGGGAGAAAGGTCCAGGTCAGCTGGGTTGGTTGCCCAGCCCTGGTCCCTTCCTCACCAAGTGCCCCAAGGCGTATGTGCAGCCACTGCTAGCCACGAGCCGGGCCAAGACTCCAGGGCAGCCACTTGCAGTTTTGTGGCTGCCTCCTGCAAGCAGTCTGGGCTCTGTGGCAAGCAGCAAGGGCCTGCCCAGACCCTGGACTGCTCGCAGCAGCCCTGGCCTTGCTCACTGCCAACAGCGGCTGCACGTGCACGTCAGGGAGCATGGTGGGGAAGGGGCTGGGCCTGTGCTGCCATGACAAGGGTTGGGCCCCTTGTGGCTCCCCCACCGTCCACCCCAACCCACCAACATCTTTGAAGTGAAGGTTGCAGGATTTTTTGGCACTTGGCCCAAACACATTACCAACTAACTGCTAACCTGTCTTATTAAAATAATTTTTTCCCCATCCCATCCACCTGGCTGTGCGCCCTTGCTCACATAGGTCCTAGCCAGTCTCCATGGAGACCCCCCCCAGATCACCGAGCAGTGACGGTACAGGGCCGGGGCCCAGGGCAGAGCCGCAATCCACTCCCCACATGCCCCTGCCCACAAAACTGGTGCCTGTGGCAGGGGCACCTGGGCAGATCACATGGCTGTGCCCCAAGCTGAAGCCCTGTGCTGTCACAGCCTCGCAATCCCAGCCCCACGCCCAGATGCTGCTCCCTGCCTGCCCGTGACCCTGTCCCAGTCACCCAGCCGAGCGTGGAGCAGAGCCACTTAGGGAGGTTTGATGAGCTGTATGCAGGAGGGAATGGGGGGGCAGGGAAGGCAGCTTGCCCAGCCCGTGACACTTCACAAAAACTCCATGGCCCACGGGCCCAAATAATTGTCCACCCCTGTCCTAAACACTCTGTTTTGGCTTCTCCTACTCGAATGACTCCTCTCTGTGGTTCTCCCCATTTCCCCCAGCTTCTCACTCTAGGTCCATATGGGGAGAGGGAAGCACAATGTCAGTCCGATGACACCGAAGAGGGGACGTTCTGCTTTCCACTGTTCTCGGGCCACAGACATTGAGGGAGGGTGGCCCTGACCAGACCCGATTTAAGCCCTGGATGCAGTAATCTGTGTTTGGGGTGCTTCAAGTAGAAATCAGGGTAGATATTTCTGAGAACTATACCTACAGCTCATTGGCTCCCCTTTCCCATTTTACCCCTACATCTCTACAGTTTCTCTGTGCAAGTCTCACTCTTCAGGTCTTGTGCAGACCTCAGCTGTTCAATGCAAAAAAAGAAGCAGACTGTAATACAAAATTAATTCACCCTTAATTAATTCAAAGGACTTCAGCATATGACTCCCTCGGTATAGATCTGAGTATAGTGGATTTTCCAACCCTCTGTTTTGTACATCAGCAATATTTACTGAATATAGGCAAAAGATACCAGACCTTTACACGTTGCGGGTCCACATAATGGATTTTCTTACATGCGTCAGGGCCCCAACTTAACTTCAGGATGTACAGGAGGCACACGAAAACCAAAATGCCTACAAAGGGCCTACAACAAAACAGCCATTGATTATCTTTGCAGCCACCACCATCAGATGAGTCATTTTTTATTTCTTCAAGAAGCTTACAAGTGAACCACTTCAAACACAAATTACAGAAATACATTTAAATGCAATCCAAGTTAAGAAACTGTATGATCCAATTGTGGTAACCTGCCTTCTCTCTCATGCCAAAGCTCTTTGCATTTAAGTGATAAATATGGAGAGTGATCGCTGATAATTGCTGAAATCTTGGTGTTGTGCCTATATTGCTTGATTTAAATGTCTCCTTGGTGTGACCTGCATTAAATGGCTGCTCTTTGTCAACTTGCAAGCTAGAAAGTGCCTTTGAATTGTTTAGTTTTAAACAGATTTACTTACAGTTGGAAGGGACCTCAGGAGGTCATCTAGTCCAACACCCAGCTCAAGGCAGGACCGACTCCTACTAGATCATCCCAGCCAAAGCTTTGTTGAGCCGGGTCTTAAAAACCTCCAAGGATGGAGATCCACCACCTTTCTGGGTAACCTGTTCAGTGTTTTACTACCCTTCTAGTGAGCAAGTTCTTCCTAATATCCAACCAAAACTTCTCTTGCTGCAACTTGAGACCATTGTTCCTTGTTCTGTCACCTGGCACCACTGAGAACAGTCCAGCTCCATCCTCTTTGTAATCACCCTTCAGGTAGTTGAAGGCTGCTATCAAATCTGTTTTGATAACCTCAGTCTTCTCTTCTCCAGACTAAATAAGCCCAGCTCCCTCAGTCTCTCCTCACAAGTCATGTCCCCCAGCCCCCAAATCATTTTTGCTGCTCTCTGCTGGATCTTCTCCAATTTGTCCACATCCTTTCTGCAGTGAAGGACCCAAAACTGAACACAGTACACGGGATGTGGTCTCACCAGTGCTGAATAGAGGGAAATAATCACTTCCCTTGACCTTCTGGCAACACACCTACCAATGCAGCCCAGGATGCCATTAGCCTTCTTGGCATCAAGGGCACACTGTTGGCTCATATTCAGCTTCTTGTCCACTGTAACCCCCAGGTCTTTTTCTGCAGAGCTGCTGCCCAGCTAGTCAGCCCCCAGCCTGTACTGGTGCATGGGATTGGTCTGGCCTCAGTGCAGGACTTTGGACTTGTCCTCACTGAACCTCAACATTTCTTTTGGCCCAATCCTCCAATCTGTCGAGGTCACTCTGAATCCTAGCCCTACCCTCCAGCATATCTACTACTCCCCCCAGCTTGGTGTCATCTGCAAACTTCCTGAGGGTGCAATACATCCCATCTTCCAGGTCACTGATGAACATATTGAACAAAACCGACCCCAGGACCGACCCCTGGGGCACTCCACTTGATACCGGCTGCCAACTAGACATGGAGCCATTGATTACTACCCTCTGAGCCCAATGCTCCAAACCGTTTTCTACCCACCTAACAGTCCACTCATCCAGCCCCTACTTTCTTAGCTTGCCTGCAAGAATGTTGTGGGAGACTATACCAAAAGCCTTGCAGACGTCAAGGTATACCACATCCACTTGTCTCCCCATATCCAGAGAGCCAGTCATCTCATCATAGCAGGCAATCAGGTTGGTCAGGCATGACTTGCCCCAGGCAAATCCATGCGGACTGTTCCTAATCACCTTCTTGTCTTCTAAGTGCTTATAAATGGATTCACTGAGGATCTGCTCCACGATTTTTCAAGAGACTGAAGTGAAGCTGACTAATCTGTGGTTTCCTGGATCCTCCTCCTTCCCTTTCTTAAATATGGGCAGGATTGCTTGCCTTTTTCCAATCATCCGGGACCTCTCCTATTCACCATGAGTTTTCAAAGATGATGGCCAATAGCTTTGTAATCATATCAGCCAACTCCCTCAGTACCCTTGAGTGCATCCTGCCCAGCCTAATGGAGGCGTACACATCCGGCTTTTCTAAGCAGTCCCTAACTTGTTCTTCTGCCAATTTTGGCTGCTCACCTCCTCCCCAAACTGTGCTGCCCGATGCAGTAGTCTGCGCGCTGACCTTGCCTGTGAAGACTGAGGGAAATAGGTATTAAGTGGGAAATACATATTTTCTGCATCCTCTGTTACCAGGTTGCTTCCCCCATTTGGTAAGGGACCTGCACTTTCCCTAATTCTCCTCTTGCTACCAACATACTTGTAAAAACCCTTCTTGGTACCCTTCACATCCCTTGCTAGCTGCAACTCCAATTGTGCTTTGGCCTTCCTGACTTCATCCCTGCATGCCCAAACACTGCTCTTATACTCCCTCCCTAGATATTTATCCAAGTTTCCACTTCTTATAAGCTTCCTTTTTGTGACTTAGTTTATTAAGGAGTTTCCTGCTAAGCCAAGCTGGTCTTCTGCCATATTTGCTAGTCTTCCTGCCTATTTCTGACCAGAAATGAAATATTGCTCACATTCAGATTGCATGTTTAAACATATTTTAAAGTACTTTTGATGCTGAAAAACCAAATCACAAATTTTCAGAGCCTAAAATCCAATACTGAAAACAACTTTTGGATGCTCCAAAATCTAATTTCAGTAGACTTGACAGCTACATTGCAAAATTTAGCTACTAAAAATTTAAGCGTATGGCTTTTTCTTCTATGTGCCATGATACTTTTTGTTCTGTGTCATACTAAAGAGACAGGATTACAAGAGCAGCTTTAAATGATGTTGACTGTGATTTGGACATGTTACGTAAAAATGAAAATCCTAAGTAATAAGAGATACCAGTAATCTGAGCTCAGTTACCTTAGGTGGAATGGCACAGCATACTTCCACTTATTTTAAATTATGCATTATAGTATTTATTTGAGATAATTTTAAATAATAGGTTCTCTCCTCTTGCTCTCCTACCCACCATCCCCCACAGGCATCAACAAAAGCAATACTTTTAACAATTACTGTAATGATCTTAAGACTTGAAGATTAGTCCATGTCTCCATCACCCTCCACACGGAGAGAGGATTGCTGCTTAAGTTAGATAATAGCTATTAAAAGACATGTCCTAGTTCTGACAAAGATTAAAACCAACTGTAAAGAAGCAAAAGTATTTTGAACTGCCAGTATGGAAGATTACCTAGCATCTCACCTCACAAAGTAAGGTAAAATTGCATCCTCAGTTTAAAATATTAGCTCACATGAATGGAACCTACTGAGAGATTATCAGCCTCAAAGGATGCACCCTTCAGGGCTATTAAAACTGTTCTCTTTTACTAAAAGATACTTTAAAGATATCAGAAACATTGGCATCTGCTTTGCTTCCAGTAAGATTATGGAATCAGCAGTGTGCTAGATGTCTTAGTTTAAAAAAAAAAAGAGCAGCAAGGCTTCTTCTAAAAGGTCTAACAATCAAGATTCAGACAAGATGCCGCAGTAACGCACAGTAGGGGAAAAAGCAATGAGAAACAGAAAGGCTGCAGTCACAGGACTATGACTGCTCTACATCGAGGGTCGGCAACCCCTGGTACATGTGCCAAGCGTGGCACGCGAGGCCATTTTGCTTGGCACGCCGCGACTAGCCCCGGCTCCAGGTAGCTACTGCCAGCGACGAAGCCCAGGCTGCTCCCAGCAGGGCTTGCAGCATCCCAGCTGCCTGCTGGGAGCAGCCCGGGATCCCGGCTGGTAGCAGCTCCCCAGAGCCGGGGCCGGCTGCAGCCAGGAGGCTCCAAATAGCTGTGCCGGGCTCCGGCATCAGCTCCGCACCGGCACGTGCAAGCGTGCCTCGGAGTGGGCGGTGGGGGAGGGGCCTGAGGCAGCGCAGCCCTGGTCTCGCCCTCGCTCCCAGCACGGAGGTGATGAGCCCAGTGCAGCTGTTTGGAGCCAGCCTGGGCTCTGTGCAGCTGCAGCAAGCAGGCTGCAAACAGCTGCACCGGGCTGCACAGCTCCATGCTGGTGGCAACTGCATGGGCACCTCGGGGCAGGCTGCGCTACCCTGCTGTCCGCCCCGAGGTGCCCACGCAGTTGCCGCCAGCACAGAGCTGATGCCAGGAGCAGGGGAGAGACCGGGGCTGTGCTGCCTCAGGCCCGTGCCCCTCCGAGGCGCGCCTGCAACTTAAAAGGTAACGAGAAAATAAAAGAAAGCTACGTGCATTGTTCCTTTTTAGCTTCTGTAAATACCCCATAGACTTTTATATCATGCTTACCACCAGGATAGCTTCAGTGCCTACAGCACACCTGATGAAACAACAATTGAACTCTGAATTTCCAGAGCAGACACACTTACTTGAGAGTACCTTTTAAAAACCAGCTTGGTCTTTTCATTTTCGCGGGCAGCCAGCTTATACCTTTGCGGTGAAGGCAAACCATCACTTTCCAACTCCACGCAATTATCTTCACTCAGCATTGCTGCAAGGGGGGTGGGGGGGAAAAACACACACTTAAGATCTTTATTGAAAAAAATGGGACAAAATACCAAAAGTACTGGAACTGATTCACTCAACTTGGCTTCTTGGTTATCCAGCTGTGAACACTGAATTGCATGTTTGACTTTCATCCTGCCCATACTGCTCTAGAAATATGCAAACATTTCCACGTGCCAGATGATATGATCTGATTTCTAGTAGCCCAAGATACCACATTTTGTACTACATCAATTGGCTTGTGCTCTCCTCCTGGCCACCTCCCAGCCTGTTCTCAGAGGCACCAGGCACCAAATCCCCTCTGTCCCTCTAACACCCTTGCTGAGAACTGGAGTCAGCAGATGAAGTTCAAGTAGCGACTTTTCAAACTCCTCCTCTACTGTAGCTGAAACTGCATCCCACTTCAGAAACTCATATGGAGTGCAAGCCCTCCGATTCACAATTTACCTCTTCCTGACTGCCGCTGTTTATTGAACGCGCAAGAGAACGCAGATCCAAAGAAAAACCTTCCAGAACACAAGCTCTCTCGCTGGCTCGTCTTACCAATGGGATCCCATGGGAAGGGGAAAGTGTTTGTTTAGGACGGCAGAGTTATCCCCATCTCCTCATATTCCTGCACTCCTCCTGTTTCCTCATCACAATGAAGCATCCTTTGAGGGCATGGGGAAATTCAGGACCTTTCTGCTACGGCACATGGGTTGTTCCTTCATTGTGGAGTCTTTCCACCCACCTTCCCTCCACAGACCTTGGATTATCCCATAGCTGAAACAGCCCCCTCCCCTTCACACTCCCCTACTTACAGATGTATGCTCAACCTCTTCCCCCTCCAGTAGACAGTCCCATCTCTTCCCCCTCATCTCCTCCCCAAGACCTTACTTTGTTACCTGTTTCTTCATCATCAAAATTATTCCCTCTATTCCCCTCCCCCACCCTTCAGAAGGGTCTTCTCCCAGTTCAGGCAAACCTACCACCCAAGTACAGGCAGTCCTCGGACTTGCAACACAATTGGTTCCTGAAAACCATGTTGTAAGTCGAAACGGTGCAACTCAGAACCGATTTTCCCATAGGAAACAATGGTATAAATGGGGGATTGGTTCCTGAACCGAGGCCTGATACCCGATTTTCACCAAAAATATCCCAGAATTTTGTACTCAGTCAATTATACATGAGTCTTATAGCTACATTAATGTATTTATATTGTGAATAGCAATCATATTGATTTGGAAGGACTTCTTTGAGGTGACTTTGCTGGACTTTTTGAAGGGTTTTTGGCTGGAGACTTCTCAGGAGTCTTGGCTGCAGGTTTTGCTGGAGCCTTGTCTGCTTTCTTAAAGAAAGTGTCCAAGGAAGTTTGGACAGATGTTCTCCAGGGAGATGGGCAATGCAGTGAACTTGTTCGCTGGCATGGTATTGGATCAATCATTGTAAAGTCAAAACGGACACCAGAAAGTCGAAACAGGGTGTCAATTTATAAACACTGCAAGTGCTGTTTGTTGCAACTCAAAACGTCTTAAGTTGAGGACTGCCTGTACATTTTACCCTGAAGAGGCAGCTGTGGTGCTTTAACAACCAAACATTATTTCTAGCCTGGCAGATTTTCACAGACATTAGGGCTGGAAGGGACCTCATGAGATCATCGGGTCCAGCCCCCTGCCCAAGAGGCACAAGTCAGCTGGAGTCAGATCCCCCCAGCAAGATAAGCATCCATGTGTTTGTTAAAGGTATCCAGAGTAGGTGCTTAGGCCACTTCGGGGGGGGGGGGGGGGCTATTCCAGACTCTGGAGACATGGATGGTAAAGAAATTTTTCCTTATGTCCAGTCTAAAATGGTCTTCCAGACATTTGTGACCATTAGACCTCATCTTCCCTTGGGGTGCCCTCATGAACAGACGTGCTCCCAGTTCAGGATGCACCCCCCTTATATACTTATAGGCTGCAGCCAAGTCACCCCTGAGCCTTCGCTTCACCAGGCTGAAGAGTCCCATGGGTCTCAGCCTCTCCTCACAAGGCCTGTTCTCTTGACCTCTGATCGTGTGCATGGCTCTTCTCTGGACTCTCTCAAGCTTCTCCTTTCTGAAGTGTGGAGACCTGAATTGGATACAGTACTCCAGAAGTAGGCTCATCAAGGCCAAGTGAAGTGGGAGGATGACTTCTTGGGTCTTGTTTGAGATGCATCAGTAGATGCAAGCCAGAGTTTTATTTGCTTTGCCAGCTGCAGCATCGCATTGGTGGCTTATGTTCATCTTGTAGTCAGTCATGATCCCCAAGTCTCTTTCGGTCGTGGTGCTAGTGAGCATAGCATTGCTGAACCTATACGTATGATGTGGGTTTTTCTCCCAAGGCAGAGCACCTTGAATTTCTTTGTGTTGAATGTCATTAGGTTTTGATCCACCCACCTTGCAATCCTGTCCATGTCAGCCTAAATTGCCAACCTATCCTCTAGTGTGACCACACTTCCCCATAATCTGGTATCATCTACAAATTTAGCCGGTCCACTTCTGACACCTGAATCCAGATCATTTATGAATATATTAAAGAGTACTGGTCCGAGTACTGAGCCCTGGGGGACACCACTAGCCACCATGTGCCATGCTGACTCAGTTCCACCAACAGAGGTGCACTGGAAGCCTCATCAGGAAGGTGAATACACACCAGCAGAGACCATTGTAATATTAACTATGCAAAAACTTTGTAATATTAACCAGAATGATTAGATGTTGTACACGGTCCCCAAATTGTCATATCCATTTATGTGTTCACTACCACCAGTACCTCGCTCTTTCACGGTACTTTTCATTAGTAGATCTCAAGGTGTTTAAAGGAGATAAGTTACATTTCTCATTTTATAGCTGTGGACATTTACACAGAGGTGACATGATTTTCCCATTGTCCCCTAGCAGCTGAGTTTGTACAAGAACCCAAGTCTCCTGAACCCCCGTCTACTGCTCCATCCATTAGGACACAAAGGGTAGGGACAGAAGTTACATAAAAACTGGCTTAAGTGATGAGAAATTGGTTTAAACCTGTAACAGAATAGAAGTTCAGTGCACATAAACCAGTTTCATAGTTGGTAGGGTCAGAAGGGACCTAAACAGATCATCAAATCCAACCCCCTGCCATGGGCAGGAAAGGATGCTGGGGTCAAACGACCCCAGCTAGGTGGCTGTCTAGCCTCCTTTTGAAGACCCCCAGGGTACAGGTGAGCACCACTTCTCTTGGAAGTTAGTTCCAGCTTCTAGCCACCCTGACTGTGAAGGTTGAAAAGTTTCCAAGTGGCTAAAACTGGTTTAAGATAAACCTGGTTGAATGTAGCTTCAGACTTAACTCATTTAGGTCACACCAGTTTATGAAACTTCTGTCCCAGACCCCTTCCTGGTTCAAGTTAAATCAGAGTCTACCAGCATCCCAGCATGCTCTGCAGCCCTGGCACGTCTGCTCCAGAGACCAGGGCTGGCTCCACCCCTGTGCTCCCTAGCTGGAGCAGTGAGGGCTGGCTCACTGGCCAGCTCACTGCTGCCCACCCCCCCAACACCCCAGGCAAACCCTGGCTGAAGTCTGCGGCCAGGGACAGGGGTTCCCCGCCCCCGAGTACAGAGCTGCCCTGCCCTGCCCTGCCCGTTTACTTAGTGCTGGCTGCAACTGTGGACTACAAGTCCCAGAGGCACCTGGAAGCAGGAAGAGGAAGTGATGAGTAACCCTGCAGAGTCCTGCTGCCATCATTGTGGACTGCAAACCCCAGAGACCTCAGGGGCAGCAGGAAGAGGAAGTGAACACACAGCCCATGCTGGCTATGTGCCAGAGAGCTGTGTTCCAGCACCCCCTGGCTTTTGGCTTAAGCCACTGCAGGCATGTAGCTGCATTTCCTGAGTCAAAAGTGAATGTTTGTTCATTTGCTTATTAAGGTTCAATCGTTACAGCTTAGACCAACCTACTAAGACTGAATCAATTCAGCCTGGGGCTTTTTGACTGTCTGTGCTTAGCCCAAAGGTGGTAACAGATTGCAGCACCTACATGTGTACTTATCCCAACCTGTCACCGTGTCTTCCAGGGATATAAATACCCATTAAAAATATTCATTTAACCTGTTGTAATGACAGGGGTAAAATTTGGTACGGTAGTGAGGGAGGCAGGGACTAGTACCTAATAGCTAGGCTCCGCTGACCCCAGTGCAGCCACTTGTAGCCTCCCCACCATTTGCCATGAGCAGCCTGGCGTCCACGGCAAGCAGCAGGGGCCTGCCTGAACCCCAGGCTGCTGAAAGTAGGTGGCAGGGAAGCTGCAAGCCCACAGAGCCTAGCTATTAAGGCTGTGCGAAACAGCACCATTTTGTTTCAACTTCCGTTTTGCCAGTTTGACAGGACAGTGTTTTGTTTCAAGTTTCATTTAGTTTTGAAAGCACTGCTCTATTTTGTTTAGTCGAAACTGTTTTGCTGTTTTGATATTTCTCCCATAAACTATAATGGGGAAGCACGAAACTGCCTATATCTTTGTCATTTCTTGCCTGATTCATATGAAGCTTGCAGGGATGGTAGCCCCTTCTGTACACTTTGGTAGTTTTATAAACAACACATAATCCAGACAGATACTAAATTCAGTTGCTCTGAATTTCTTGACTTGTGTGAAAGTGAAATCTCAGCCATAGCGCTGTATTATCATCCCTTTCTGCATTGATATCTCTGTAACTGCTGACTGTAATACTATTACTGAGAACCAAATTCAGTCTGCAAATGCTGCATTTTGAAGCAATCTGGGTAAAGCTGATGTGAAGGCTAAATTGCCTGCCAGTATGGACTGCACTTCAAAGTTTTCTTGCGGTGCTGGCCTTTTCACTGTAATTTACTGGGGCCTCATTGTTATCCTTAAGTGGACAACACTCCCATGCTTTAAATATTTTAGAAGCAATTAATTGGAATCTTCAGGCTGTCTTCTCATGCATCTTATGCATGAATACCACAAAACAAGAAATAGCATATGCTAAGAAATACAT